GACATTTTGTGGAATTAAATGCTTAGGTCATTGTTGACAGGGATTGACTAACTTCACCTTTTTGTAAATGCTTTTCAGGAGAGCTAGCAATTTCTTGACTGCACTGTATGAGGCCAAAGCAGCCATCACCAACACACATATTGAGTGGCCTTTATAGTCATTAAGTGTCTTTCTGATGACCTCTTCATAATGCTTCAAGCATGAGCTTGATTCTGTGCTGGTCTTTACCTGAATGTTCTCCTCCCTCCATGGTGATTCTTTCCAGAAGAAACAAAAAGACTTCATTCATACAGGTGGAGATTTCTTTACAACAAATGCAGTCCCGCATCTCATCTGTCTTGGGTATCAACACTTTATTGTCAAAGATTGATTTTCCTTCCTCCCACAATCCCTGTTATATGATAGGCAAAGTGGATTGAAGTTGTCACAACAGTGCCATCCACCTGGGGAAGCTCTTATTGGTGCTGGCTATTTCACATGGAAGATGGGAAAGATGGGAAAGGACAAAACACAGAAAATCCAGGAAGCCACATTCAAGTTTCTCACATTTTACAATAACAAACATAATCCGGAAAAGTCTGCACCTCTCTATCTTCTATATACATACAGTATAACAATACATACTGGTCCTACAGTGACAGTCCTACTGGTTCAGGTATGCTCAGCTAGAGGAGTCTGAAGACTTATTCCCTACCGTTAGTATCCAGGGTTGTGGGGGAGAAAGTGAGCAGGGTGCTCAAGATCTGTGATCACAGCTGTGCAACCCAGTCATTTAAATAGGGTCTCATTTGCCTCTACTTTTCTGTTCAGATGTTTAAAAGTAATTGTATGTACAGTAATGATCTAAAAAATTGAATTATTTTATAGTATTTACATTTATTCATTAATTGTTATATTTTTTCATTAATAAAATTTGTAAATATGGGTGGCTCTGTCATGTCATTTATTGGAGCCTTTCTGTGATATAAAACTACGTTGTGATTTACTGTGAGTAAACTAAACAGAGCTTTAACAAAGGAGCAGAACTCTTCCCCTCTGTTTGCTGAAAGATTTTTTTTCACTAAAATCTCCATCACCCTGGCATATCCTTTAAAAACCGGTAGCTGGGACAATGTACACATGCAAATAGGATCTGATAACCGATAAAGAACATTATGATAATGGACCTCCTAATTCAAGTTCATCTCTTGCTAATACTGCAACAGTAAAAGCCATTTAGCCATTTTCCCTTTTTTCTTCCTTCTGTGATACCTTATTTTCTTTGGTGCACAAGAATTTTCTTAAATGGTATCTTTTTCTTGTTTTGTTTTGGTTTTTTAGAAACATCATTAACAATGATATATTTTGTTTGATACAGCATGGTTATTATCCTGTATCACACCACCAGCCTTTAAGGAAAATGCACCAGACATTAGTCTGACAGCCAACAACAGAAACACGAAACAACTGGGTGAGAGGAAAACACATCATGATCCTGAAAGACAGTTCCCCACTGGGTTGAGTGTGAGTGTAATATTGAGGGCAGCCAGATCTGCACGTCATAGTCCTCTTACCTTGTTGACAACTTTCTACCCTGGCAGGTTGATGAATGAGATCTATGCATTACTGAGTACACCTGATAGATACCTCAGCAAGGAGCTTTTACTTTTGGTGCTGCAGCTGTGCAACTACTGCTTTCTTTCACAGCAAGGTTTCTTCATGTGCAACTCTATCTTTAAGTCTTGGTGGGATCACTTTAAGGACATTTGCCCATTCATTAAAAAGCAACACCATCTATTTCTAGTAATCAGAATCACCTAATCACCTAATCAGAATAAAATTGGAAAGCACAGTGTCCATGCAAGGGAGAAAAAAATGAACTTGTGTGGTGATCTGTTAAGGATATCCATGTCCTATTTAATCTGTTTGGACTCTTTCATAATCATTACTGGAATACTGTTCACCTGTACTTATTTTACTACCTGTGAGGAAGCTGTTCTTAATCACTTGTGCACCTAAATATCCTATACACCCCACTGCTAACATAAAGAACCATCTTTTTCACCAGCACACAATCCTGCACTGCATTAGTGGTAGCCTATGCGCTTTGCCACTTCTTCTGTGGGTGAGAGTGGAGATTATACTGGACTTCATTTGGAGCTCCTTGCCACAGCTCCTCGTCACAGCCAGAGAATCTTTTTTTCTGTTGAACCAGTAGATTTTAGCAATGGGTAATACCATTTTGAACCTTTCATAATGCAACCACCAATGAAGTGCAATGATATCACCAGCTACTACAGTAAAATTAAGCTATTAGGAGAAGAAAGAAGGTCTAAGGAGGGACAGGCATGACCATGTAAGTAAGCAGGTGTCTCCCTCTCTGTCCCCTTCTCCCTCATCTTCACACCCCTTACTGAGTTCAGAGGATGTCACAGGTCTAATATCCCAAATACATCTATATCATCCTGTCATCAGCACCCCATAAGTGTTGTTATTCTACTGTGGGTGCAGAATTTAAATATCACACACTACCGGTGCTTTTTTATATTCCTGCAAGCCTGTTTTCTTACTCTACTTTCACTGGCCTTTAGATATTAGTTTAGCATTTGCTTTGCCACCTTGTCTGTCTGAGGCTTTGTTATCTCTACATTGTCGTCTCGACAATATACACTTTGAGTATATCTTTTATATAACGCTCCTAAAAGCCTTTTGCCCAAGAAGCTAAGCTGAAATACTTATTTGAATGAAAAGCAACTTTGAATTAAGAAGCCCTTCTGCTGAAAAGTTGAGAAGGGTTATATAATATGAAGTTGTTCTTTCTATCTTTTTTAAAAATTTAAAGTTATAAAATGGTATCTCTGTTGCAAATTTTTTTAGAGAGGATAACTATTCATAAAATAATACTATGAACTTTATAGCGCTCTGCTGGATTAGATCTACAAAACTGTTCCTCTGAAAAATGATAAAAAATTAATTACAAGAAAACAGTTTCTTTCTAAGTTTTTTATGAGACAACTCATAAAGCTGGGATACTGACAGCACAGCTCTAATTCTCTTAAATTCTATTCAGTTAAAAAAAAAAAAAGCACACTACAGAAAACCTATCACTTCTTGCATTCATAAAACCTGTCAGATTTTATGAGGATGGATAAAACTGCTTAAAAACTTCCCAAAGATTAAGATGAATGCTTCAAAGAAAAGGTTAAATTGCTCATAAATTTAAAAAACCTTCTGCAGCTTTTATCACAAAACAACCCATAAATGGTTCTAACTCTTTGTCCAGTAAATAGTCCTGGTGGAAGGTGGGGAGCATTTGCCTGTACTGAGCCTCCTGAGTGCAGCTGGGAACATTAACACCTGTGTTCATCCCTAATTGGATCTGAGCTTGAAGGTAAATTTTCCAAGTGCTGTATTTGAGCTGGAAATCAGTGCTCATCTTTCTCCTTTCATGAATGTATATTTTACTCTTTTGTGCTGAGTAAATTAGTGCATTTGAAATCTGAAGCATGTTTAATAGTCCCTTCATTTTCATTCCAGACACTGGATATTATTTTTGCCACTGGTGAAGCCGCTATTTATTGTCATTGCAGCTGTGTTAATAAGATGTAGTCAAGAGTCCAGGCTTCAATGAAAACGGTGTCTTGTGCAGAAGGAGTTACTGTCTGAGGTCTTGACTTCTGCACTGTGTGAGGGCAGCTGAGTCCCCGTGTAGAGAACAGGGAATGTGCTGCGGACCACGTGAATGCAGCAGGCTTCCTGCATGCTCTGCAATACAGGAGCAAAGTTTAAGCCAGGCAGCAAACGGTCAAAATAGAACAACATACAGATAAAGGTCACCTACATCAGTTACACTATGACGAACTTCAAATAGTTAGGGCTAACTTTAAACCACTCATGAAGTTTTAAAATAGGACAAATTAAGCTTATTTTTTATCCTTCTGTTATTTGACCTTTAGGATTTAAAGGTGCTCTGTATAGTCATTAACATCAGTGCCTTTTTAGATGGAAAAAAAAAACAATCTGAGATTCTTCTACAATTCTTTAACTGTAAGACTTGGGTTTTTTGAAAAACTGAAATATCATGTTCATGATAAAACAGCAGAAATCTGCAATGCTCTAATGAGATACATACATTATTAGTGGAGTTGAGTGAAACTTTGTAAATGCCAGTACTTCCCAGAAAATCCATTGTAAAACCAGGAAGAGGAATTACCCTAAGAAGTTTGTGACATTTTGTTGGATTTGGGTTTTCAGTCACTTCTGGCTATTTGTGGTCAGTGTTGCAAGCAGAAAGGCTAACAGAAGGGAACTAAAATCCTGTGTGCAGGACAGTGTCACACAAGTTCATAACACTCCAACCACCAGCAAACAAGGAAGAGAAGCAACACATGGATCTGCATGATGCTCTGCCCAGCTTCATTAGTCATGTCTGCAGAGAGGATGTATTGCTTCAGATGCAATGCTGTACTGACTCAGCATCTGAGCTCTGAGCTGGTATTTCTGCTTGAGCAGTGTCAGCCCATTCAAAATTTGGTTCTGGCTCTTTGTGCCAAGCTCCATTGTGCCATATAGGCATGATCTGCAACACAGTCCTGCCCTTCACACTGTAAGAGGTCCTGTCCTCAAGGTCACCTCCTTTCAGGTAAGAGTAGTATTATCCCAGTGTCAGTAAAACTGAATCCTAGATTTTCTCCCCAGAGCTCAGTGAGGCTTAGCGTGATGCAGAGTTGTGATTATACATGGCAGATTTCAGGATCTGTGATTTTTAACATTGTTTCTATTACCTGAAGTGAAGGATGAAGAATATATCATCTAAGTAGAAGGTTCCAATGACAAGCAAATGTAAGGAAAAATAAAACACTGAATTATTCTGCTAGAAGTATTACAAGTGCTTTACTAAACGCCACTCAGAATCACAAGTGTAGGTGTGTGCTTTCAGGCTCCGAATTTCATTTTTAAGAAAGTTCTTTTCTTCTTCCATTGAATGGTTAATGTTGTCTCTATTTCACTTATCCCTGCAGTGATGGCTGGGCAGACAGGTACGACGTGACAGACGGGTATCAGCATGAAGCTGTTGGTGGAATAACGATTAAGCTCCAGTCTCCTGATGTGAAATGGTTTGATGATTACTACCTACAGCTTCGGCCAGAAACCAATCACCGAAATCCATGGTTTCAGGAATTTTGGCAGCACAGGTTCCAGTGCCGGTTGGAAGGGTTCCCTCAAGAGAACCCTAAATACAACAAGACTTGCACAAGTAAGTGAATTTATTACTTCTGCTGTATAAACCAGTGTGACTGAAGGTCTGGTGTAAAGAGCTCATGTTGGACTGATGCAGCCTGGTCTGCTGGAATAGTGAGTGGGGCTGGAAGGAAGGAGGCTAGAACTGCAATCCTTGCTTTTTCCAAACTGAAAATAACCACAATTTTAAAAGTATTCAGATCTCTAAAAAAACCAAATAGATAGTGCCTCAGTACCTAACTCCTCTCTATATTTGAAAAACTTCATGCTACTCTACCTCCATAGACATCTAAACACTTTCAAAAATATTGTAATCCAAAATTCAATGCTTCTTTTCTGAAACAGGGCTAATCATATTGCTTTACCTCACAGGAACAATGACAGAGTTAACATACTAAAAGTTATCTGAAATCCATATGGTAACGATGATTATTTGTGTACCTCAGATAGAACACTAGCTGGTTTCATAGAATCATTTAGGTTAGAAAAGACCTTTAAGATCATCAAGCCCAACCATTAACCTAGCACTGCCAAGTCCACCACTAAACCATGTCCCTAAGCACCACCTCTACAAGTCTTTTAAATACCCCCAGGGATGGTGACTCAACCACTTCCCTGGGCAGCCTGTTCCAATGCTTGACAACCCTCTTGGTGAAGAAATTTTTCCTAATATCCAACCTAAACCTCCCCTGGCACAATTAGAATCATAGAATCATTAAGGTTGGAAAAGACCTCTAAGGTCAACTCCAACCATCAACCCAACACCACCATGCCCACTAAACCATGTCCCTAAGCGCCTCATCTACACGTCTTTTAAATACCTCCAGGGATGATGACTCAACCACTTCCCTGGGCAGCCTGTTTCAAGGTTTAACCACTCTTTCAGTAAAGAAATTTTTCCTCATGTCCAATCTAAACCTCCCCTGGCACAACTTGAGGCCATTTCCTCTCATCCTATCGCTTGTTAGTTGGGAGAAGAGACCAAGACCCGCCACGCTACAACCTCCTTTCAGGGAGTTGTAGAGAGCGATGAGGTCTCCCCTGAGC